GTTTTGATGTATTTTGAGAAAACCCGTGTGTTACGGAGTATTGACCAATTTTGTTGACTTTGAGAAATGTGCGCCCTTTGTGGCTTTTTAATGAAAGTTAATATTTTACTCTGAAATTCGTGTTATTTTGCCGTAATATCTGTGGAGTAGAATAAGGGTGTTACACGCGGTGTTGACACATTGCATACAAATTGGCATTTGTGAATTGATTATTGTCATGTGAATATATTACCTATTGATTATTGTTGTTGATGTTTAAGTTACCCTTCATGATCCTTTGCACCGCTAACATATTTGAGCATATTCTCACCCTTCGTTGTTTTATTTGTGTGTTGATGTATGATGTGTACAAATACTCATGAACATGAGTAGTAGCTGTCATGAGTTGGATGATGACCTTGGAGCTCATCTTCATTTACTTTATCGTTTATCGATTTTTGTCGATTAAATATTCTGATATGTAACATCGGAAACGAGGCGTTTTTGTTATGTTTTCAGTTAATGTTGAACTATGTGGTTTAAAGTCTAATATTTTATTTGTGAAATTTAATTTTGAAGTTTTTGTGACATGATTTTCCGATACTTGTTGTCAAATGTGTTGATGAGTTTTTGGATGGTTACCGTTGCGACACCTTAAATTATCAATTAAATTTATTATTTAAATTTCAGAGTTTAGGGTGTTACACTTGTTGTGTATAAGTGGTTTGACGTGGATCGTATAAATACATATCTTTAAAGGAAAACTCAATTATAACTAATATGTACCAATACATATAATTATTAATAGTTGATTTAGATTTGATTGACATAACAGCATCGGTTAAGACAAGTTGATACCATGACCTCTATTTAATCCAATTTAAATTAAATATTATTAGTTTTTATTCAACTTTTTACGAACTAATTAAATTAAAAAAAAAATATATATATATATATATATATATATATATATATATACAATACATAGGAGTTAGATGAATTGACAACTCCTCATAGGCGCCAAATAGATTTACTTGGCCGTGTGTAGTCGCCAATTTAATAGGTTAGACCTCTTATTTGTTCAACAATCACCAACTCAATTAATATGTTATGTGTTAAAAAAAATTAAAATGTGGGTATTTTGAAAATTAATAAAACTAACATAATTATTTTTAAAATGGTTAAAAAACATTATTATTTTAAAAAATCACATTAAAAGAATACTAAAATAATAATTAATTAAAATGAATAAAACATAAACTAAAATATTAAAATTAATATTTGCGATTATACCAACTTACCGATAAATAAATACCACCAAAATCTCGCTTATTTTTACACCAATCAAAGTGAAAACATGAGAGAAGATTTTTTTTATATTTTGAAGTGAATGAATGCAACCACCGCATAAGTCTTTATCTATACAATATGCAAAGAGAATATTTTGTTTTGGTGTAACCTATTTTTTTTTATCCTTGTTTTGTTATTTTACTTAATAACTTTTTATTATTAATTTTTAAAGAATTTTTTATTATTAACTTTCAAATATTGTATTTTTTAAAAATTTTATTTAAACAAAAAATATCGTTTATATTTTCATTCATGCGTATTAAAAAAATTGATAGATGGACATACGAGTGTCCGTCTAAACGCTGGTTTATACTAATGGTAAAGAATAGATAATTAATTTTACAAAATGACTTGTTTAAATAACAACACACCATTTTAACAATAGTTGTAATTCATGTGTTGGCAAAATAAGTGAGATTTTTATCAACAAAAAATACACATATATATATATATATATATATATATATATATATATATATATATATATATATATATATATATATATATATATATATATATATATATATATATATATATATATATATATATATATATATATATATATATATATATATATATATATATATATATATATATATATATATAATTAATTTTACAAAATGACTTGTTTAAATAACAACACACCATTTTAACAATAGTTGTAATTCATGTGTTGGCAAAATAAGTGAGATTTTTATCAACAAAAAATACATATATATATATATATATATATATATATATATATATATATATATATATATATATATATATATATATATATATATATATATATATATATATATATATATATATATATATATATATATATATATATATATATATATATATATATATATATATATATATATATATATATATATATATATATATATATATATAAAAGTGAGAATTAATTTACTCCAAAAGTAAATATTTTTAACTTACTCCACATCATAGTGTTTAAATTAAATTTAATCTAGTGATTAAATTAGCATTTTTATTTATAATCATTCGAATAAATTTAATTTAAACGCTATGATTGTGGAGTAAGGGAGTAGGTGGATCATATATATATATATATATATATATATATATATAAATATATATATATATATATATATATATATATATATATATATATATATATATATATATATATATATATATATATATATATATATATATATATATATATATATATATATATATATATATATATATATATATATATATATAAAAGTGGGAATTAATTTACTTCAAAAATAAATTTTTTTAACTTACTCCACATTATAGGCTTTAAATTAAATTTAATCTAGTGATTAAATTAGCATTTATAATCATTCGATTAAATCTAATTTAAATGCTATGATTGTGGAGTAAATGAATCATTCATATATATATATATATATATATATATATATATATATATATATATATATATATATATATATATATATATATATATATATATATATATATATATATATATATATATATATATATATATATATATATATATATATATATATATATATATATATATATATATATATATATATATATATATATACACACTCTGAGGATCAACTTACTTTAAGAGTAAGTATTTTTAATTTACTCCACATCATAGTTTTTGAATTTAATATAGTGGTTAAATTAATATTTTTACTTATAACAATTTGATTAAATTTATTTAAAGGTTATAATTGTTGAGTAAGTTATAAAAATTTACTATTAGAATAAAAATAAGTAGATTCTCATATATATATATATATATATATATATATATATATATATATATATATATATATATATATATATATATATATATATATATATATATATATATATATATATATATATATATATATATATATATATATATATATATATATATATATATATATATATATATATATATATATATATATATATATATATATATATATATAAAACTTAGCTAATAGGACATTCGTATAAAACAAGAGAAAGTTGATATTATTGGAAGGACATTGTTTTATATAATGAGAAAATATTAATCATCTTTAAAAAAAACACTTATATTATAAAGTTTTGTTATTAAATTAAAATAAAATAAACTACACATTAATTTTTCTGTTAATAAATAAATAACTATATGTTACAAAATGGGACGTTACATTTTCTACGTAAAAAATTTGGTATTTTTATTATTTTATTTTGATTTAAATGCATTTTAGTTCTCTCGTTTTAAAATCAGTTCTTTAATTTTTGAATTTTATATCATTTGAAATTTGGTTGTCCTATAATTTTACATACATGAAGATAATATTTAAAAAGATACTTTTAATTTCGTGACATTAGTGATTGGGTTAATATATTAATTAATATTTTTTATTAATTAATAAATTAATTAATAATTTTAATTATGTTTGACTAGGACAATTTATTATTTTATATAACTTTAATTAATAAATTTATTTATTTAATTAATTAAGTTTTTTTTATAAATTTTAAAAGAATTATGCCGTTTCATTAAAAGATTTAGAGTACTTATTCATGGGTGTTTATTCATACTATATAAACACTTAAACAACTTTTTTAGAGAAACAATGTGAGACTTTAGAATTTTTTATTCAAATACTTCAGTTAGGGTTTATGAGTATCTAAGGTCGTCATTCCAATTGGCGGCCCTTTGTTAAGGACATAAGGATGTCGTCATTGGATTGGAGACACTTCATGCAGTAGTCAATCCAATTGGCGCCTTGGTTATAGACTTAATACCCAGTCGCCAATTCATCTAGAGACAAGGTGTATTTTGTAATTTTTTAATGAAAAATAAATAATATTATCATTAATTAAAAAAATTATTACATAAACTAATGTTGGCGACCGGGTGGGTCATACCGGTCACCGGTTCCATATCCCCTAGGCACCGTAACTCGTTCCCCTCGTTATTGACTCACGCTAGGTGTTTGAGGAGTTGAAGTCTCAGGAACATTCCCAGATGGTTCCCTAAGGATTTCTTGTATTTCCATTAGGTCTTGTATGCTGAAACTGAGTGTGCGACCCATGCTAGAGTAGTTCGGATGTGATGAAAGGGTCATTGGTGTGCAGTCTGGACGGTTGAAGGGGGACATTGGTGTGAAGGATTCGTTGGTGAAAGGTTGAAATGGTAGTGGTGTTTGAAAGTCATAAGGTTGTTGAGATGATTGAGTTTGTAGGATAGGGTATGATGTCGGAGCGTTTTGACTATGGAAAGATGTTTGGGCGTTATAGCTATGGTATGATGTACCCTCATTATGGCTATATCTTGATGTTGTGTTGGGGCCATAGCCATATTGGGTTTCTGGGTAGTAGTCAGTGTGTTGGATATGGTATGAGGGATGCTCTTGGTATTGTGGTTGGGTGTTTGGCATGCTTGGATGGTTAATGGGTTGGTAATTTTGTTGGGTGAGGGGTTGTGAGTAACATGGCCTTTCTAGTGGGTTAGACGTTGAAGCTTCTTGTGCGTAGGTGGTTTGGCGTGGGTCGTATAAATACTTGTCTTCGGAGATAAACCCAGTTGCAATCGATCTGTATCAAGCCATATAATTAATAGTTGGTATAGATGGGGTTGCCATCATCGGGTCACGTAAGACATGGGCGATGCGGTTCATTCATTTACGACGCTCAAATTTTGCAAAATCCTTCTAGTCGGGAAAGTCCCATTGATCATTAACTTTTTTTAGATGCCATTTACTGATGTCAACAGGAGGATCTGGGATGTTTTGATGCATTCCAAATTGTAGTTTGACACGGTAACTGTTGTGCATCTCCACAGTTGTGAATCTGATGATCGGGATGCATGCAGTCCAAACGGCATCATCTTCCTCTCTGACTTCATGTAGGTGTTCCATGTTTAGATATGGACGCCATATGAACTGAAGAAGAGAAAAATATTAGATCATAAAATAGTTGATATAAAATATAAATTGATTTCTTTATAGGCCTTACATCTGTAGGTGTTAGATGATCCAACAGATTGCGGTATTGAATGATACAATGTCTAGGGCATCTATTGTAAGTCATACCCTTAGCCGACCATCTAAACCACAAAAAGTTCAAATTCAATTAGTTAGACACAATAATTAGTAAGGTGAAATAAATAAGATTAAGTTAGTAACTTACTTTTGTGCATACGGGAAGGAAACGTTGTTGTGGTTGACGGGCGCTAGGGATGGCAATCTAGACCAACCCCATGCTTGGAGCTTAACGGTGCATCCAGAAAAAGTATACGTGTTTTTTTTGCGCATTTACACAAATAGCTATACAAATAAGACAGACAAATAGAACCCCCAACTATACTCTCTTGTTTTAGTTAGTTCTCTTAATAAAAGTAAATACATAATGTGCATAGAAGAACCAATGCCTTCGGGAAATAAAAATAAACCAATTAAAAGCATAAGATAACACCTGGTTTTTATTATTTTCATTTCTAATGTAGAATTGCCATCTAATATAAAATCGGTGTACCATGATTTTAGGCGTGAAAGTAAGATACCTTGGCCTCTTGAATTCTCATCTAACAAGTCGGCACCCAAAAGTTACTCACAAATTGAACTATGAAGGTTTGTTATTCCATTGACCGCCTTACCATCAATACGCAAACCAGGTAACATGTACACATCCTCTATGGTCACGCTACATTCACCGGTTGGGAAAAAGAAGGTGTGTGTCTCTGGGCGCCATCTCTCTTGCAAAACTAGTATAAACTTTGCATCAACCGAGTAAGACATGATTTTGCTTACATGTCCGAAACCGGCGAGCTCAATATATGGTTGAATTAATTCGTCGGGTGCAACATATTCATGGGCACGACACCAAAACTTAGAGACTTCCTACATAATAGTCAAATAAAAAAATTAACAAAGACATTAAAAATGAACACTTACATAATTCACGATATTTGCAACAGTGCCTCTATGTGTTTCACCCATTGTCAACAAAACAATTACAAATGATTAAATGTGAATCAAATAACTGGTATACTGATACTTTAGACTTGATATTACCTCTCTACAACAAATATGAATTAGATGATATTTACCTATACGTCTAGCTTTCTTATATATGGAATTAAGAGTTACATGTGAGAATATTCATCTGTACCATGTCGCCAGACCAATTGACGATTGCATTCACCCTTTACAAAGGGGCCCCAGTCCAATTGGCGACTCCTGATAGACTGAATATAAATGTGCACGTAGCTGAGGTTGCTTCATGCATGCATAACATGCTAACACCCACATGGCCACACAGTGTCTCAGAAACCCTAACTTTGATTTTTTTTTTTTGAAAAGTGAGGTATTTTGGGTTCAAACATGACTTCCCTCGCATCTTTGTCGGTCTTAACACGAACCCATCCACGCAGCCGATCAAGTATCTCGATACTACGGATTTTTTCCCTTCACCAATGTCTCCTTCCAACCACTGATTCAGCTCCCTCTTAAGTTGATTGAAACTTTGTATGTTCCAAAATAGCATGTCCATCAGAGGCTTCTCTCTCGAATAGAAGACTTTTCCCCATTAGCGACGATACATGTTATCAGTAGAACAAAGATATGAGATGAGATGTGGAACTAAATGATCAGAACCCATCCAGATGATTTGGCGACTCCCTTATGTGTCTATAACCAAGGCGCCAATTGGATTGACAACTGCATGAGGTGTCTCCAATCCAATTGGCAACACCCTTATGCCCTTAACAAAGGGTCGCCAATTGGAATGACACCTTTAGATACTCAGAAACATTAACTGACGTACTTTGAGAATTTTTTTAAAAAGTGTGGTAATTTAGAATTTTTTTAAAAAAATAGATTATTTGAATAAAAAATTTGAGACTTTACCATGACCACAATAAAAGCATTTTGCATGTTGCGCCATTATTTTACCTTATAAATTCTTGCTATCATTTTTTCATAAATTCATACTGCAACTAATTTTGAACTATCGTCTAATCACTTTCAGCTTCTCTACTCCAACTCTAAACTCATCTCTACCATCAATTCATTCACACAACTCAGTACAATTCAGTTTATCATGTATACACTTCACACGTTTCTCAAACATTTTATCACTTGAAATTAAAAAAAGATTATTATTTAATAGATGCAGAATACTCAAAGTGAATGTATTTTTGTAAGAGATGTTTTCATGAAAGTATGTATTAAGAAACCAATTTTGTAGAGCTTATCAAGAAATTGATCAAACCTCTCAAGTTGATATCAATAATGCTTATTATCTTAGATCATCCACGTCTCTTAGCTCTTCCATTTACAGAGGCCCCTTATTCAGGTAAATTACTTGAGACCGTCTTATTTGTGTGCTTTAAATTGTTACTATTATAGTGTCTGATATGGAGAATATATCGTATTAGATATTTGAAGTTCAAATGAATCATAATGTCGTTCGCAATGCCGCTCTTCATGCATAGTTCAATGAACTATTCACATCATATGAGTAAATTATACACATTTGACAACAAATGGGTGCACGGGGATTTAATATAAATGTATCAAAATAATTCATTAATAATTTACTAAATTTTTTTAAAAAATAATCCAATCGATCCATTCATTGAGAATAAAATCTATCTAATTTATTATTATTTTTACAAAAACTTTTTCTTTTTAATTTCTCAAAATTAAAATTTTTATGTTAATTTTTTTAAAATTAAATTTTATTTTTCATTAAATCATGTACGAGAACTTATTGCATTTGATGATATATTGTAAGTTAATATGAGTTATGCTTATATGTGATTATCCGTTATACATGTTTTATATAGAATTTTTTATTTTATTATACTCAAAAAATTCGTTATTTTATTTTAAAATATCGTATTAACAAACTCTGTCACATTTATTTACTTGTACTTGTAACTACACAAAATCAAATTCAATGATCTTTTTTTATGCAGAATACATATATATATATATATATATATATATATATATATATATATATATATATATATATATATATATATATATATATATATATATATATATATATATATATATATATATATATATCAAAAAATGTCGATTTCGAAAATTGGAAATGTGCGAATAATGATAATGAAATGGAAAAATAAAATAATAAAAAATAAACTAATAAAAGAGATAGAAATATAATTAAAACATTTTATTTTCTTGTGAATTTAAAAATACATTATGATCCATTAGATTTATAAAATAAGATGAATGGATTGAATCCATCTATATAGTTAGATGGATAGATTTGATTCAATCTATTAAGTAGTTTTTTTTATGGATGAATTGGATGGATTAATTAGTGGATGGATTGAATGAATATTATTTTAATGAATTTTATTGCCATCCTAAACACTAAACCCAGTTAAATGGGTGCATCGTTTTTGAAAATGAGCTTTTTTTTTTGCACTTTATAGACTTCTTCCACACCATGTGACTTTCCATATATGCCTTTTCATTTCGGAGATATATCTCCAAACGCACCAAATTTTAATTAAAAGTTAAACTATTTTGTAGATATATCTCCTGACGTACCAAAACCCAATTGAACGTTGAAATATTCTGGAGATATATCTCCATAACGTTTTGGAGCATATTAACGCGCCAAACTCTTCTTCTCCTCCCTCACTTTTTATTTTCATTCACAAACTCTTTCACTCTCTCATTCCCAAATTTCTCCAAGTTCACCAAATTTGCTTTCATTCGTTTGAGGCTCAAGTAATCATCAAGCAGCATTCAGTTTATCATTCAACATCTTACAAATAATAAATTATGGGTAAGTTTTTCGAGCTTTCGGTAAATATTTGAGTTTTGTTGTAAAAGAGTTAGAATTCATTGTTAGGTGTATAAATAATTAGAAGCCAGCTGAAACATAGTTTAGAGTAAGTGTATGTATTGTTTATTGGCTCAAATGAAAGATTAGGACTTCAAATTTCACATTCTTAGGGGTATAGGACGTCATTGTCGCGACCTCTGGGTTTCAGAAGATTCCGGAGATACATCTCCGGAAAAATTTGTTTCATGTACTCTGGAGGTTTCCGGAGATACATCTGCGGAATGTTTCCGATATATATCTCCGAATTTTACTAAGTATTTTTTTTTGTTTTTTTGTTTTATAATTTTCTTATTTGTGTTACTCATTTGCGTAAACTCATTGTACGACTAATTTTATCTTGCAGGCATAATGGCTGACAGAGCCGACCGACTGAGGCATGGACAGATTTTTCATCACGCATCTGTTCGGTGGGAGCAGGGCTAGCCAATTCTGGAGGCAACAAGGACCTCTGGTCAGGGAGAGGCGTCGATTATTGGGGCACAATCTACTCTTGAGATTCGGTCCACTCTCGGGACTCGACCTTACCTTAGACCACTCCATCTACATCTCAACCCACTCCACCTTCTACTTCTTCTTTCTGCAGACCACCGGATGCACCAGCTGACGCGTCACTTCCCTCATCCTCCCGCAGGCGTCGGGACGCACCAGTTCCACCTCCCGCTGATGATCTTGTTGCACCGATTTCACCTCCTGTTGATGATCCTGATGTACCGGTGTCACCTTCAGAGGGTGAGGTTGCAGATGTCGAGTCAGAGGCTTTCAGAGGGGGTCCATCTGATATGTCCCTACTTCCTCTGTATCCAAACCACACCGCCAGACATATCTGGGACGGGGAGGTAACATTGGTGTGATTTTTGATTTATTTTTTTACGTTAATTTAAATTGCTGACATTAATTATTTCTAACATTGATTATTGCTGACATTGGTTATTTCTGGAAATTCACAAGTGCGTGATCCCCTAAAGTTTCTGAAACATAGGAGGAAGATTTTAGCATTGCATTAGCCGGAAGGCAAGTGGTTTTAGTCGGTCCTGGCTGCTTTTGGGTTGCGTGACCTATGCATGACTGGTTACAGTCTGGTCAACCACGAGACGCTTAATGTATTCGTGAAGAGATGGCATTCTGAGACGTCTTCTTTTCATCTCTCGCACGGTGAGATGTTTATCACCCTGGATGATGTCTCGTCTTTGTTGCATCTTCCGATCAGGGGGAGGTTCCTCCATCATGGAAGGATGATCAAAGACAAGGTGATCGATATGATGGTGGAGCATCTAGGGGATGATCCAGGGAAGGAATTTGAGGTGGTGGATAAGACCAGGGGTGCTCATGTTAGGTTTTTTTATTCCTGAAGACATCATTTGATGTTGAGGTCATTGTTGCACAGCAGGCTGATGGTGATGCCAAGCAGGTGACCTTACACAGGACTTATGCTTTAAAGGCATATTTTCTTTATTTAGTTGGCACTGTGATGTTTGTGAACATGAGTGTCACCTATACTGACATTGCATACATCTGGTACTTCTTGGATCTCACACGATTCTATGAGTACAACTGGGGGGCGGCTTGTCTGGCCTATCTGTATTTGAAGTTAAAAGATGGATGTCAGTGGAGGACAAAGCAGGTCACATGCAGCACGACACTACTAGTGGTAATAATTTTTTATCCTTGAATGTTTTTTTCATTTTTATTTCATATTTGCGATAATTCTTGATCCATGAATGCTTTTTATTTTCATTCCAGGCTTGGATCCTCCAGCACTTTCCGCGCCTTTCAGAGTCTATCTTGACCGCTTGGCTGCCAAGGACATCCACTTCAACTGCTACGTGGATCACCATCAGATGTGACCATTTGACGACATATCGCTATACTTCAGATGGTTGGCCTGCGGGTCGAGTATCACTGCTCCTCATTTTCCCGAGCGCGTCATGCGACAGTTTGGGTACACCCAGACCATCCCCATACACCTTGTTGTCTCTACTCCTCCTGCCTTGACTCGTATATATATAGAGGAGATATTTGTTGATTATCAGAGTCATCTGGTACCGAATGAGGCTCGGGGAACCACAACGTCGAATGACTGGAGCTACGTCGACGGATACATCTGGTGGTTCTTCAGGGTCTCACATCCATACATGGTGTCGACTTCTCCAGGAGATCCGTTGTGACCCGTTCATCAGTAGATTCTAGAGGATGAGCAGGTTCAACTAGGTCGTACTGAGGATGTCTTGCCTCGGTGTCGCCGCATAGTGGAGATTGCGCAAGCAGGCATTAACGAGGGTATATTCCCTGAGGGCTCTGTTGTGCGGCGAGTACTAAATTCCATAGAAGCACATAGGGCACTATTGTACCACAGACATTCCGCGAGAACGTGGGGGATCGATGGTCAAGGAGGCAGACGAGGCAGACCAAACAGATGAGGTAGATGAGATGTTATCAGGCACACCTAGTACTTGTCTGTATGTATTTTGTTGCAGTACTACAGTTTGCACGTTTTTCCTGACATTGTTACTACAATTTTGATTTCGTGACTTATGACATCTTATTACTATATTATATTGTAATATTATTTTGTATGTTTGTTATTTTATAATTCATCTGCGAACAAATACATAGTGCATTATAAAAAATTTGTTCTAATACACTTTGGAGATATATCTTCAGAAAATTCTCGTAGATATATCTCCGCGAATATTCAATTGAAAATGGGTTATGAAAGATATGTTGTGATTGTTTAAGGTTTAAATAATTTCGAAGTTTAAATAATTTCGAAGATATATTTTCAGAATATTATTAATGTTTAGTCAGATGTAAAGTGCGTCTAAAAATATATCTCCAAAATCTTAAGTCGTATATGAAAATTCACACAGTAAAAAAAAAACATGGGGTGCAATAAAAAATCCTCTTTGAAAATAACTACATTACACGTTACTACCACATAGCACATAGCTGAGATCTATTGGAGATGATGCAGGTTGTTGTGTCCCATGGAAATGTTTTAAGTCGTAGCTAAGGGAACCATAATTGTTAACAATTTAACAAATCTAAGCTCAATCACCATCCTCATCACAAGCTTCATAGAACAAACTTAGAAGAAAGATTTTTTTAGCATGATATTTGATGATGTTTGGTGTTTTGGGATGGGTAAAGTGTGGCTTCTTGTCCCATATGTTAGAGTGGTGGGCTGGAAAAGACTTGCAAAGACTTAGGCCCCAAACTCATAAAAATCATTTTAAAATTTATATTTAAATAATTTCTAAATAATGTATCAAATTTGTTATATAAAAATATTTAATAATACATTATCCTAATCATTAATGCCACTTCATACAAAATATATTTTTTGTCCTAATTATAATTGCCACACATGCAAAATAGGAGGGGATCAATTAAATCTTAAATGATGTATAATTCAGAGCATTTTTAAAATGAGGACTAAAAATTAAAAATCATTAAAATATGGGGACCAAAAATATATTTAAACTTTTTTTTTTATATTATTATTTTGCTTTAATTTTGTTGATTATCTTTTAAATTGCACATATTTAAAGAAAATGTTCCACTTAAAAAATACTCTGATGATTTGATTATTTCCCAACATCTATTAATGAAAGAACTATTGTTCCAAGATTTTATAAATATTGTTATTACAATTTAAAGAAATCAATCATTTAACCAAATCAGCTAATTGCCGCATAAATAAAAACCACTACTCACCAAATCTCTATAGAAATTATCTATTTTTATTATGCAGCACAATTGTGCACTTACAAACTTTGCCTTGTCTCCAGAACTCAACTCGCCTAAACTTCTCTAAAACCAAACAAAGATAATAATTGTGTACTTACAGAATTGGTACCAGGGTCTTGGTCTAGGATTTTGAATACACCAAGTATTGTTTTGTCTCGCTTGTCACAAATTTGTACTTCCTATGTCTTTGTTTCACCATGGTAACATGACCCTCCCTCGACTTTATCCTCCCAATGAGATCTCGAAGAGGAGTCTCTCCTTGATTGTCTTTGAGATTGCAAGAATTCCATAAACCTTCAGTTGCGATCTTGAATCTTCCGTTGCGATCTTTTTGCACTACCCAAGATGAAGATGTTATTGATATTTATGATGGTTGTTTTAACCATTGTCATAACTTTTTGGTTGCAGAGATTTGATGGTCTTAGAGAAGCAGAAACTCTATGCATCTCACAAGAAACCATCTCGATTCTCAGCCCTGAGTCGCGGAAGAATGTCTCATCAAACAAAACTCCTTCAATTTCTTTTACGTTATCACTAATATGTATGGAAGTTATCTTGGAGTATGTACTCGTGTTCGTTTAGGCAGAATCATTCGCAACTCTTTTGGGACTTGAAAGAGTGGTTTTCTTGACTCCATACCAAGTCTTCATATATCCTCTACGCAGAGTTGGGTCATCTAATGTGGTCTCTTCCAAAGTGATGAGATCAGCAGTAAATTATGAGTAGTTCGAAATTTAGAATTAATATTATGATATAAACACTCTTATAAGTGTCAGAGAAGAACAAATGAAAATAACCTATGTATTTGTAACTTCATTTTAACATATTTCAATGAGTTTCAGTGTAAGGAACATAGCTCTACATAGAAATTTAAGGGATCATCTCAAACAAAACAATGATTTTATACATACAAAACAATCAAGAAGAATCATTTCCCTCTTTTCCTTTCGTAGACTAACTAATGATCTTCTTTTTGTATTAATGATGGGGTTGGTGGAGTCATTGTTCCATCTTTACCTCCTTCAAGCGCAAAACTTGTGTCAGATTTGGTTGATACTACTACACCTTCTCTATCCAAAGTTGAAATTGAAACTTGATCACAAGTATCAATTTCTTTCAAACATAACTTGTCTTCCAAGAGAGCATAACTATTCCTAGTCCTAGTTTCTTGAGCAAGAGAGCACCAACAACAGAATAACCAAAGTGTACAATCAGAAGCCGAAGGTTTTCCAAAACAGAAATCGTACGCAGGCAAATTGAACCTCTTTCTCATTTGAATCCTCCAAAAGCCACCATAAAGTAAACCACAAAAACAAAGGATGATTCCAATAGCTATTAAAGCTATTCTAACATTATCATCATCAATGTTACCGGAAGCCAATACAAATACCCAAAAAGGAGCCATACATAACAGCATAAAAGTAGCTATATGAACATACATGTTCCCGAATCCAAGTCTCTCCATGTTCCAACCAAACACGCAAAAACTGCAGAAAAATGAGAGAAATGATACAGATATATCATGCCATATCTCAAGTATTCCTCCACTCCAATTTGGTCTATTTTCTAATTCGACAACTTCTCCCTGTTGATCCTTAGATGCAAAAGCATACTTTTTCTCAAACGGTTTCTTAATTTGATCCTGTGATTCTTCATCCTTATCACAATCATAGTCCTTCCCAAGTGGACTGAGAATAATGTACAATCCAGCTACGGCAGGTGACGCAATTGCAACTGATATAGTAATTCCAACTCCAACTGCCGGTCGCTGAGACCTTGTGTACCCTAAATTTAGACAACAAAGTGCATATTGAGCAAAACAGTTAACATGAAGGAGAATAACCACTACCATCATATGTCTCCATTCATGTGGCTTGCCAGTACCATTTTTGCAGTAAATCATTCGAAGCGTAGAAATGTCACTTGTTCTCCATCTACACAAAAGAACAAGATGGTGGAACCTCTTTGGATGTTGGTACAAACACATAAGTGTAAAGAGTGCATTTAGTATCTGGTTATTTATCTCAAACCACGTGTTCCTCTCCGACTTAGTTTTTAGCACATTATTCAACATTCCTGTCATGACAAAGAACAGAATTGCACCCGAAACAGCAACACAAACTATCCACGCGAAAAGAGCCATGTTCATCGGGTTTTCGATCCATTCCATGCACATTTTCTTGACTGAACTCCAGTCAAGTTTTTGAGCAAACATCATACGTAAACGCGATTTTAGACCATTGGAATGCGGAGACGGAGAAGGTACAGACTGTGAAATAAGGTCTTTCTCACTAGGGGTTGAAATATCTACTGAAGCAAACTCCTTCACTTGAGTCCCATTAGATTCTTCAATTTCATTTCGGGGACTTATAATAATACCATTATCAACCGGAGTCATTATGATAATAAACTTGGAGATTTCACAAATGGTCAGATATAGAATGATTTCTTCTAAGACCAAGGTTTTAAAAAACAGTCCACTACCAATATTCACCTTTTTAGATAAAGAACAAATTGTGATTAATTCACACCACCACGACCGCAATCAACGCCGTGACATCTGTATCCACCGAAATCGCGAAAGGCTTTACGCCACCGGTAGGTATTTAAAACCTTGACAATAACATAACAATATGATCTGTAGTAAGATTTAAATCCATAATAACATAACAAGTTTCAAAGCACAAAGCAAATTACAAATCAACAATAACACATAAATTCAAGAACATTGAATAAGATAATTGAGTTTGAGTATATAGTAAAGTAAGTGAGAGATACGTGATACATACCTATGATGATGAAGGGTTTTTTGGATGGAAGTGATTCCATTTCAGTCACAAGAATAATTGTATTTGGTAAAGTTTAATCGATTGTAAAGTGTTGAAAGTAGTAATTCAAAAACATGGCGTGCGAATGTTTGGTGAAAGGAGAATGGATCTTCGTAGGCGTAGCAGGTAAGAAGAATGAGAGATGGATTCAAATATACGGTTGACATCTGCCAGGAAAAAAAAGAGTGAAAGAAGGTGAAATTTGGGATTGTGGGTGGAAAGGAATTTTCTCTTTTTGATTTGTTCTCTTTTACTTTCATTTCCATGCACGAGCTTGTTGCCACGTACCTCTTCGTGTGATTTCTTTATTTCGAATTCATACATTCTAACTAAGGAATCATTGTGCATTACACATATTAATATAAGATTTTTTTTAGTTCACGTATAGTTATGAGAATTTAATTAAACTAACTCTAAATTTAAAATTTAAAATTTAAAAGAAAATAATATATATAATTGCTCGTCCACCATTTTGAAAGGGCGAGAAGATAGACCATATTTCTTTATCTTGATCTAGATTTATTTTTGATGAATCTCTTTCAGGTAATTCGTGATGGTCAACTAGAAGACGACAAGTAGTTTCTCGTGTTTTAATCTTTTTTGTAATATATCCCTTTTTGTAATATTGAGTGGCTTATCGCTTTAATAAATGTCTTTAGTATAATTTTATATCTCTATTTTAAGGTATAATGACCTACCCAATCTCGGGGTTTTTTCACTGATCCCTTATCTTGATTGTCAATATTGCTAGGCAATTCACATCGCATTTATTTTGGATGGGGTCTTTCTCAAAGACCTCTTATTCTGGTAAACAAGGACCCCTCTCAGGGGCCCATAACCTTAATTGTCTCTTGGGGCGACAAAGATCCAATTTAGGGGTCGAGCGTTTTGATCGCCTTATCGGGCGACAAGGATCCAACTTAGAGATCTAACATTTTGATTGTCTCATAGGGTGGTGAGGATCTTACTTAGGGATCTAGCATTTTGATCGTCTCGTAGATCGGTAAAGGTCCCACTTAGGGATCCAGCGTTTTGATCGCCTCCTCCGGTGAAAAGGATCCCACTTAAGGGTCTCTTGGGAGGGGAAGATCACACTTAGGGATCTAACATTTTGATCGCCTCATAAGACAGCAAAGACCTCACTTAAGGATCTAGCATTTTAATCGCCTCATCAGCCGACAAGGATCCCAAGTAAGGATCCATCATTTTGATCGCCTCATAGGGGGCAATGATGTCACTTAGGGATCCAATGTTTTGATCGCCTCATCGGGCGGCAAGGATCTCATTTACGAATACATGATTTTGATCATCTCATGTTGGATATTTTGGTTGTTGGAAATATGTAGCAGCACTTGAACAAAGAAGGTGTTGGTGAAGATTGCACTTGAAAATTCAAACCTCCTCTGAAGCAAATTCACAGTAAACCACAAAGTACCCAGACTTGGGGCGTCCAGAGCATCATCTTCTGCTTCAATCATGACGTCTTCAAAGAACTGCGTGTCAAGGAAATCAATCCCTCCCACCACCCAAAGTCCAATCCGCATTTGCAACTACCAAAAGTCCACCACGCTGGCGTCTCCACCTACATTTCCAATTACCCGTCTACATCATATGCATCATACGCATTGCATTCATCATCATAAGTATCCTGCATCATACTCCAATCATACCATACTTCCCCAGCTCTTGCATCTCCGCTCGTCAGCATTTGCATTTGCCCGTCCACTCATATGGAATATCATTTATCATCCAACATTCATATACGCAAGTCAAGGTCCAGGATCAATCCCGAAGATTTCCAAGTCCATCGACCGCCCAGTCAGGGGCATCTTCCGCAAGATGGTGGGTTTGCCCCATGATTTTCAAGAGCTTCAAAGCAATCACCAGCCCAGGCAGGGGAAATCTTCCGCAATTGTGGGTTTTTCCCACAAAATTTGAAGTTATTCAGAGCAAGATTCAGCCCAGTCAGGGGCATATTTTTCAAAGACCATGGGCATCTCCCATGACGTATTTCAACCTCGTGGTTGATCAAATATTCAAATCAATATTCATCCTAGTCAGGGGCATATCGTTCAAGACCGTGGGCGTTCCCCACGAAGTTGTTCGACCTTTTGTTGGGCGAATCCAAGAAGTTCAGTGCAAGATTCAACCCGAGCAGGGGCATCTTCAGCAAAGCCGTGAGCGTTCCTCACGAAGTTGTTCAGCCTTTCGTTGAGCAAGACAAGACAAGACAAACATAGCCCAGTCAGGGGCATCCTCTTCAGAATTCATGGGCGTAACCATGAAATCATCTCAACAAAATTATGATCTCCAAGCAAGTCGTTGGCCGTCCCCGCTGATTCATTTCAACCCAATTTTCCTCTTGGGGGTTCCCCAGTGAGTTGTACCCAGCGAGCGTGACCGTTGTCAATTGCCTTACTATCATCCTTTTGGTGATAGTCGAACTTCGTCAGTTCAACCTAGCCTGCATCCTTTTGGTGTTGGTAAACTTCAAATCTGTGTTGTCCTATCATCCTTTTAGGGTGATAGCGACCTGTGCGTGTGAGTTTTGCTCCGTCGTCCTTTTGGTGGTGGGTCTGGCATTTCGTCGATGTCAGATTGTGCGATATTTTATTTGTGTTTCGCTCTGCCATCCTTTTGGTGGTAGGTCTGACATTTCGTCGGTGTCAGATTGCGCGATGTTTTGTTTGTGTTTTCGCTCCATCATCCTTTTGGTGGTGGGTCTGGCATTTCGTCGATGTCAGATTGCACGACGTTTTGTTTGTGTTTCGCTCCATCATCCTTTTGGTGGTGGGTCTGGCATTTCGTCGATGTCAGATTGCGCGACGTTTTGTTTGTGTTTTCGCTCCATCATCCTTTTTGTGGTGGGTCTGGCATTTCGTCGATGTCAGATTGTGCGATATTTTGTTTGTGTTTCGCTCCATCATCCTTTTGGTGGTGGGTCTGGCATTTCGTCGATGTCAGATTGTGCGATATTTTGTTTGTGTTTCGCTCCATCATCCTTTTGGTGTTGGGTCTAGCATTTCGTCGATGTCAGATTGCGCGATGTTTTGTTTGTGTTTTCGCTCCATCGTCCTTTTGGTGGTGGGTCTGGCATTTCGTCGATGTCAGATTGTGCGATATTTTGTTTGTGTTTTGCTCCGTCATCCTTTTTGTGGGGGGTCTGTCATGGTCATTAATGTCAGATTGTGTGTTTGTGCTTTGCTCTACCACCCTTTTGGTGGTGGTAGCCGTGTGTGTTTCATCCCATCATCCTTTTGGTGATGACGACTCCTTTGCCGGTATTCACAGTTTACTCATAGGTTTACATCATCCAGTATTTTCAACTCTCAAGCATCTCTCTTTCTTTCGGACAAATTCAGGGTCTTTTTATATCTAATTGACTTCTACCTCAGGAAAACAAACACCGTAGCAGTTTATTTCCTTAGGTTTAAGCCTATTAGATAGGGGCATCTGTCATACCCTAAATTTGTCCTATCCCTTTCGTAAATATTTTCGCTTTTTTGCTTCATGCCATTTAGACGTGTGTCCGCCCCTGATTGAGCATTTTTTCAAATCTCGACAATTTTGCCCAATGGGAGCGCGACACGTGGCCTAAGGGCATTTTGGTAAATTTTGTTTCCACTTTCCTTTTTCCTTTTTTTATATATATAATTTTTATTTATGGATTAGTTTTTATTTATTTATCATTTTATTATAATAGATTATTTAATTAGGATTTATTTATTATTTATTAATTAGATTTCATTTTCTTTTTTATTTTTCTTATTAGTATTTAAAATTATTTCCTTTTATTTATTATTTAGATTATCATTATTATTAGGATTATTTTATTTTACTATTTATTTAGATTAATAATTAATTTTATTAGGATTTCAGTTAATTAGTTAGAATAGTTAAAGTTATTAATCAGTATCGAGTACAGTTTTTGGTGTTAATCAGCACTGTTAATTATTAATTTGGAGACAGCCTGGTCACGTGGCAGCTGTATAAAGGCCACATTACTGTTTCTCTTCAACCTGAGACCCCAACAACCCTAGCCGCCTACCCATTGTTACTATTCACCATCTTTTCCGTTTTTCAGCCACCGCTCGAACTACCATCATCAACAACTTCATCTTCTTCAAGTTTCAACCTCTGAAACTCAGCCACACAAATTCATCTCTATCAAACCCGTCTTCCGAAATAACCCTGTTCCTCTTCTTCGTAACACAACCTTCAACCTCATGAACACAAACCTTCTTTTAACTCAAAAAAAAAACCAAATCAAATCACCAAACCAGGAAAAGCCTTAACCGAAGTAAAAAGGAAATTAAGAAGAATAGTGAAAACCATTTCTGAAACAGAAAAAGACGAAGGCGGTTGATTGAGAAACAAAATCCAGCTTCGATAAACACCCATCCCGTCCACCACCTTCTAAACCCACCGCAACTTCAAAAACTCCATTATCAAAACTTCAAAACCATCCACCTGTTAAAACCCATTTCAGACCTTCACCTTTCTTCAATTCAACCAAAAATCAAACCCATTTTAGAAGTTCTAAACAACCCAGATTTCTAAACATCAAACC